TTGAAGCAACCTATGCTCAACAGTGGTGGAAGTGACATCATCTCCAGACCCTTCAGAGGAGTTCTGGTGCTGTTTCTGACTTCAGCTTGATTCTTGAGCCATTCAGATGATCAGATTACCAAGTAATTAGGTTTTATTTTTAATAAATTCACTTTCTGTTTGAAGCAGAATTGATTTTAATGTTTTAAGCCAAGAACTTTGTTTTTTATAGTGGAATAAGTGGGGTTAGGGTAGCAGACTAGGAGGTTGAACCTCCCTAAAAGATGTGTTCAAATTCTAATTCCCAGTACCTGTGAACTGGCTCTTATTTGGAAGTCTGGTCTTTGCTGATATAATCAAGTTAAGATGAGATCATACTGAGTTTGTGTGGCCCTTAGATCCACTGACTGGTGTCCTTAGAAGAGGAGACACAGACACAGGGAAGAAAGTCTGTCATGATGGGGCCAGAATTTGGAACTACAAGCCAAGGAATAGCACAGATTGTTAGACAGAAGCAAAGAAAGTTCTTCCTTAGTTCCTTCCCTGGGAGCATAGCCCTGCTGATTTCAGACTACTAGCTTCCAGAACCGTGACATACCTTGATGCGGTTCTAAGCCACCCAATTTGTCATCATTTGTCACAGCATCCTTAGAAAGTAATACACACTTTATTCACATACCCTCAGTCTCTGAGAAGATTCAGTTTGGGGAACTGGATGAGTGGTTGGCTGGGTTCTTTATTGTGGAGATTCAACAGAGATCAGTTTGTTGAACCTAAAGGTAAGACATTAGTGGGCTGCCCACCTATTTTGATCCTAAAGAACACATGATTTCTTAGCCTACTGTTAGACTACTTCATTCGTTAGACTGCTCTCATGGCCAGTGCTGGTACCATACCCACTTTCTCCCTGGAAATTTAATTCTGCTTTTGTGTCTACTACCCATCGAAACTGCTCCCCATGCCAACTGATGTCAGCAGCCTCTCCTACTGGCATATCTAGCCAATGAAGAACAGCTACAACAATCTCATAGAATATGCTACTAGTCCCCTCAACAATATCTCAAATTTTATCAAATCTGAGATGCCATCAATGATGACACACTATTATTTTATTAACCACTTAGAAAGGAAAAAAAAAATCCCATCAACTTGTGAAACACAATAATTTATAATATATCCTCATTTCTGAGACATAAAAAAGATGTACAGGGCCTCCCCGGTGGCACAGCGGTTGAGTGCTGGGTTCTGAAACTGCCTGCAGCCTCTGCAGCACCGGTTCTATCCCCAGCTGCTCCCCGGCCACCCGAGGAGGGTCCCACATGGCGCGCAGACCTCTCCTGCCGCCCGCTGCTCCCCTCAGCAGTGTACTCAGCCCTTCTGCCTGCTCTGCTCCCCGCTCTGGCTCTGGTGAATTCTCTCACCCTCCGCCCTTCTGACTGTACCCAGTGCTTGTATAAATAAATAAATAAATCTTTAAAAAAAAAAAAAAAGATGTACATCATAGGACTCATGGGCTATAGTATTTTGGTGCTCCTTTCAGTAGTAAAGAGTATGATTGAACAGATCATATGTGATAAACCACTCACATTCCAGGACTTTGGATTTTTTCCTACACATTATTCCAGGGAATTTTGGGTAACTTAACTTTATTTAATGTGAATTACCACTGCAACCAGGTTTCGGTCAACCAACTAAAAAGCAATTAGAACTAATGCTGGCTACTTGAGTTAGCATATTGAATCCAAAATATATCTGGTATGCATACCCATGTTGACAAGTTTGGCTTGCCATATAATTATGATTATCCTTCCTTAAGTCTAGCATCTTATAAACATACATATTTGCTAGTTTTTGGAGGCCGGTATTTCTTAGCATGTAAGCCTTCTCCTGGATCAGCCTCCTTGTATTTATCCTCCTGGGGCATACTGGAGTCTGGCTGTTGTTACAGGTTTGGAAACAATGAAGAGTGGTGGAGATACAGGAGACAATAGCTTTCTGTCATGGAGCTCAAGGGAGGCCACTAAGAAGTAGAACTGCATCCCAGGGAGAAGGACAGTGGTTGAGTCCACTGGCAACTGAGTTCTGTTGCAGAGTGAACTTACAGATGTGTTGATTCATCTGCTTCCTCCCTAGTGTCACCACTCCATTTCACATAAGAGACTTGAAGAGGTTATGAATTAAGTGACCTCTGTCATTGGGAACTCGTGGGATCAAACTTTAAAGTTTGACTTTTGATCTCAGCTCTTGAGCAGCAAGCAAAAAGAGACCGCCTTATAAAGTATAGTCTTAGAAAATCTCTGGTTCTCCGTCTGTGCTTTCATAGAAAGATCGAGGGATTAGTATTTGTTATTTTCTTTCTTTAAACTATTAGTTTCCACTGGCAGTGATTTTTTTTTTTCCCTCCCCAAGGGGACATTTGTCAGTATTTGGAGACATTTTTGGTTGTTTGGGATGTATGTGTGTATGTTACTTGCTTCTAGGGATATAGAGCAGGGATGTTGCTCAACACCTTATAATGTGTAGGACAGCTTTCCATAATAAAGAAATATCCAGTCCAAAATGTCAGTAGTTCAGGGTTGAGAAATCCCTCTTTCAAGCTGTTCACTATGCTAAGAAGTAAGCATCCTGCTCCATAGTTCTTAATTTTTTAAACATGCTAATATTCCTTTCAGCAATCTGGTATCTTTTGCCAAAAAAGACACTATGACATGATCAATTATAAGAGGCGCCATTATTTTATGAACTACAAGAAGAAAAACAATCAATGTCCAAACATAACACAACACTGCTTTTTAGCACATGACTTTTATGTGTGCCTTTCATACTCTTCTATGGCAGCAGCTACCAACCCTGCCAAAGCCACTTCAGGGGCATTTCACTTAGGTGATGGTGTGGCTGCTATCCTAGGCTTTCCTACTTGCAGAATTCCAACTGCCTTTTGCCTTAATAAGATTGAATAACTGATCCTTGAGGCTCTGGTCCCTACAACCATACCTGCTACAAATTTCTGTCTCAATACTAAAGAGTGTGTGTGTGTGTGTGTGTGTGTGTGTGCATGTTGGCAACTGTCTAGTTTATGAAGGAGCTTGGATTGCTGGAGACTACATTTCAGATTACTTTTAATATCACCCAAGTCTACTGATAGAATAGGTCCCAAGAGGCCAGCCCTGCTCAGCAGTGCCACCCACATGGTGCTACAGCTTTACCCTCGGGCTCTTGCTCTGGCACCATGTCCACTGCTGCTCACAGGTGGTCCTGATTTCACCAGTGTCAGCCCAGCTCCATAGTCTGTGGCTCTTCACTCCCTCTGGCCTGGACGTACGAGTTCATGGCGGCTTAATATGCGCTATACTCGTCACAGGGAGGCTGGGCAGGCAAGGACCTGGCATGTTCAGGGTCTCTAATAGAAGGCAAGTCCTGCTGGTGGCAGTCTTATTCTGTTGGGGAAGTTCCCAAACAGAAAAATGGCTCACTGCAAAGATCCGACTCGCTTTAAAAAATGTCCAGAGGTCGACCCCTTCCCATCAGTCAAAACCCAGGACTCATCCGGTGTTCCTCTTCCCTTCACTTCCCAATCAGCAAGTAATGGATTCCATCTCCAAAACGGTCCCGAATCCACCCTCCTCCATCTCGCACGGCAGTCTCTTGCTGTGTCGTCTGGTCTGGATGCCGTAATAGCCTGTTTCCACTTCCTTCCTTTCTCTCCCGATCCTATTTCCCAAAGCAACGAGAATGTGTTTTTTCTTTGTCCATCAACCCTATAAAACTTTTTTTTTTTTTGCTTTAAAACCTTCATGGACTTTTTGTGCTCGTAAAAATCTAGAATTTTGGTCTCTTATTTGGTCTCTAAGGAGGTTGATCTTATATCTCATATGCCCAGGATGTGATTTTTAAGAGAGCCCCTTTTTTACTCCCCAAAACATAATGTTTGGACAATAAGCCACTGTCACTTTACCTAGAAGGCCCTGCATTATCTGAAGCCCCCCTCACTGCCTCTCAGTCACTAAACTGTTTATTCTTATCTTCTCTTTGCTCTTTCCCTACTGTGGGGCCTTTGCAGGTTCTGTTCCTTATGCCTGCTAAGCTTTTCCTCCCATTCTTCATGCAGCTTTCTCCTTGTTATCCATCAATCTCAGCTTAATTGCTGTCTTCTCCTCCTTCTCTGGCTAAGCAGCCCTTGTGCCTGTTCTCTGAGTGTTTCCTTCATCATTTCCTCCACACACTCACCAGACCTTCATGGCTCATTGTTCCGTCCATTTGTTAGATTTCTGTCTCACTCACGCGAAGGTTAATTCTCTGAGGGTAAGGATTACCTATGTCTTAGTCAACATTTGTCCCCCAGAGCCCGACATGGAAGCTATTGTTTCCCTCAATAAATAATTTGTTAACTCAAAACCTAGCCCTTGAAAGGAAAGCATAGAAGTGAGATAGTCAGAGGGGTGGGGCCAAGCTCGAAGTGAGGAGGGAGCACCATGGCTGTGGTGGGGGACTGTGAGTGCTTTGGTGGTGGGAATGCTGAAAGGGAGGATCCTATACTTCCAAAATACAAACAATAATGGAGCCAGTGTTACCTCGATAAAATTAATTAATAATTTGTTAAACCAATAACTGAAAAGGACTTTCGTTCCTGACCCCCTGACGAGGCTAGGCCACCGTGCTAAACACTGTTAAGTGTGAGTCTGTTGAGTCTTTTTTGGGGTCAGGTGCCTGGAAGGAAGCAGAGGGGATTAGGGTGGGCTGTTTCTGTGGTTGCTGGTGGATACACAAAGGCATGGGGCCAGACGGGGAGGCAGGGACTTCGCTGCAGGCCCCCACACACAGAGGGCTGAGCTGGCACATCTTTCTCTACCACAGTTTCCCTTGACTTGCCGTCTGTCTCCCTCTCAAGGTCCCAGGCCTTCAGCCAGGCAGCTGGCAGCGACTGGCAAGGCCTCTAGACACTAGGGAGGAGCTGGAGCAGCGTGGTCAGAAAAACCTCCAACTATCACCCTAACTTAATTCTTTGTTGTCTTGGTCAACAGAATCCCAGCCCGCTAAGCTGCCCGTTACCACAGTAAAAGCCACAGACCCAAGCAAGTCAAACACATCTCCAGCCTCCAGCACTGGAAACGTGATGCCATCCACAGGCAGCCCAAGCACCGTTCAGACTTCTTCTGCGGCTCTGAACCCAGTCAGCAGTAGCCCCCCAGCAGCGTCCAGCAACCCCCAGGTGGTGGGGGTCCTGCCCTCACCTAGCACCACTGTGGTGTCAGGCAGCACAACACAGAGCCCTGACTCAAGTGGCTCCCTTGCAGTCCCTGGCAGCCCAACGGCTCCCCCGGCCTCAGGCAAGACCACACCTCCACCAACCACTGTTCCCCCTCAGCCTGAAGCCACCACTGGCCAGAAGGGAAGTAAAACAGCTGGATCTGGAACCCCAAGTGACCACAGCGCAGCCACAACCGTGGCTGTAAAGGGGCCAAGTGTGCCCACCTCTCAACCTCCAAGTCCCGCGAGCTCCGTTCCTGCTTCTGTGCCCTCGTCCATGCCTGCAAGCCCTGCCCTGCCGACCTCAGGCTCTCCTGCTTCGAAGCCCCCGGGGAGCCTGACGGACCAGCCAGGCAAAACCACTATAGCTTCCAGCAGTTCAGGCACCGTGGTGGCTCCCAGCGCCACCCCTCAGGGGATGGCAACCATGCCAAGTGAGTCATGCCTTTTTTCTTGTCAAGCAAGAAGCGACTTTCAAAATCCTTATGTTCGGTACAGTTGCTCAGCAGGAAGCTGTCGAGCCACGCTAAGCTTACGCATCAGGAACCCCTCACCTCCACTCCGTCCCTGTTCCCATGAGGAACAGGGGCCTGCAGGGCTGTATCACCCTGGAGAGTTCAGCCTCTTCTTCACAGCCCGGGTGGCTGTGTCAGGGCTCCATGGCCTTGTTGCTCAAGGGGTTGATTACATCATGGCCTGGACACATGCGTGTAACACAGGCTGGACACAAAGGCTTCCCTCACCAGAGTTTATCATCCTGCACGGGGTACACCCTGCTCTGTTCCAATCCAGTCCATTTCTTGTTCTGCATGACTGGCTTAGCCTAGTAAGTTAATTTCAAAATTCACTGATGGATCATGAGCCTCAAGATCATGACTCCCGTCAGATTTACTGCGCCAGAATTTGAGTGTAACCCTGAGCATCTCATTGTCAAGGATTCCTTGGGGTGTTTGGAGGAACAGAGCTTACCCGAGGGCTCTGGGTTGGAGAAACCTGGATTCAAATCCCTGCTCTGCCCCTTGTTAGCATGTGACCTTGGGCAAACCATCTGAGCCTCAGTTTACTTTTTTAGAAAACTAGGGACAACAAGGGTTCCCTCCTCATAGGGTGGTTGTGAGGATGAAGTAAGAAAGTACCCTTGAGGCTCGGTGGACAGTCTCTGGCACGAAGTGAGCGCTCAGCTAGTGTTCACCACGGCTGCCCAGCCAGGTCACTGCTGTCGTCACCCCCTGTCTCAGGATCTTACTGTGGCTCCTTCAGTCCCACCTGTCCTGTAACAGGAGCTACGTCGCTCTGCCTCCTCTTCCTCAGAGCCTGCTTACTTTGCAGTCCGGGTGGGGGGTAAGACCAAAGACCCTGGGAAAGCATTTGGAACGCGAGAAAACCACCCTTTTCTCGCAGAGGTACCGCGCCTGTTTTCTCATAACCCTTGTCTTCCCGCTGACAGTACCGTCGGGTACCACGTCGGACAATCCGCAGACCTCCAGCAAGATGCCAGCCGTCCCTGCGACCTCGTCCGCCATCACCGGGAGCCCTTCCACTGGGAGTCAGCTGCCCCTGGTCCCTTCACTGGGCCCCGGGGCCACACCTGGCAGGGGACCCACAGACTCCACCGCTCAGTTGCCTTCTACAGTCCCCTCAGATTCCAGCCCTTCTCCCACCTCGACTGTTGGCGACCACAGGGTAATTCCAGCAGGGGTGGGACAAGCAGAGCCCAACGTGTATGGAAGGGGCTTCCACCCCGGGGTCCCTGGTGGGGACAGTCAGGAGCAGCCACCTAGGGGCCGCCTCTCTCCCCGGCTTGGCCGCGTGGCCCAGCCATGCCCCCAGCTTGCTGTGAACGCCTTCCTTTGTGCCACCCACCCGGGGAGGGAAGGCGGTATCACCAATGAGACCCTGTCAAGCCCGGCCTGAACCTTAATCCCAGTGGCTTCTTCCAGATACAGTGTGAGCCCCCTGAAAGGCTGAACGAGAAGATGCTCGTCCTGAACCTCACAAATACCGGACTCTGTGTGAGTACCTCCCCCACCCGAACTCCACGCTTATTAGCACCCCCAAATATGTGCTTGGCCACGAGTTAAGGGAGGGTAGAAGGGGAGAAGTGCTCCTTCTAGAATGGGACTGAGAGATGTGTCTGTTTGCTGGTGCTGTGGTTTCCTGGCCAGAAGCTGCCCCTCTCTGTCTCCTGGAGGGAACCCCTCTGAGGAACCCTCCCTGTCGCTCCCCCACTGGGCCGCTGCGGCCTGCTCTCCCGGGGGCTCTCCCCAGGCACCTCTTCCCACTGTCCTGAGGGCCCTGGGTCTCTTCAGCTCAGGGCATGACTCAAGTCTGAGCTCCAGAGGCGCCGGGGGTGGGTGTGAGGAGTGCATGCAGTCGAGGTATGAGGCTGCTCTCCTGAAATTACATCGCTTTGTAAACGAATGCAACACCAGGAAATTTTGATTTAGGAAAAAGAACAAGTAAAGAAAATGAGAGGTTTAATGTGCCTGACTCACCTTTCCTAATAGTCTGGCTCTGTATTGCCTGGTCCAGGTATTACCTGACAGCCTCCCTCTCCCGAGGGGTCCGTCCTGAGTATCAGGGGCCGCCCCTGCACTTGCTCATCCACTCTGTGTGTGTGCTGGGGGGGGGGGGGGGTCAGCCCGGGCGTGGGAGAGTGTGCCAGTCCCTGGGGCGGAGGCTTCTGGGCAGGGAGGCAGCCCGCCCGCTGGACGGCTCACTGCTGCCCCCTACTGGTCAGTAGCCATCTTAGCAAACACCCTCAGGTATTCCAGGAACTGGAACCAAACGTGCGGTTTCTAAAGGATGGAGACTTTGAGTTTGCAGCACTTTGAATGCTGCCTGTATTTTCTGCAGTTGTTTTCTTTGGGTGCCCACGTTGCTGGAACTTTCCAGGTGAACTTTGCAAGCATATACCTTTAGACTGGAGTCTTAGGAGGGAGACTGTTCCCCTGGGGTTGGGCTTGCCCCACGTGGCAGGAATCAATCACATGGACACCAGCCCTGCCTCTCCCCAGACCCTTTTTTTGGCTAAAACTTAGCAGGTTGTATGATAGGTTGTGAGAAGCATTTTTTCTCCTTTGCTGGAAGAGGAAGGTAAAGCCCTGTTATCAGGCTGGGGAATGAGGCAGCCTCAGGAAACCCTAAGAGGAAACCCAAGGGGTGGTTTTTGGGGTCCTGAGGTGACATTACCAGGAGTGCTTTTCTCTATCCACTATCATGTCAGACAAACCCCAGCTTGGGTGCATCTGGGTGACATGGGGGCACTGGATAAAGCCTGCTCACACTTTGCTTCCTCACCTCCAGCCCCCAGTTAGAGAGAGAGAGGACTCACCTCAAGAGGTCCCCACATTCCTGGGAAGTGATGTCCTCTCCTCTCCCCTGTCAGCCTGTTCATGACGTCAGAGCCTTGGGAGGGGGCACAAGCTTCCACTTCAGGATCCATAACCTCCAGCTGAGAGCTAGCCTTGCCCTCTGAGACCTTTGACCTGAGCATTGAGGGTTGCTGAACAGGGCATCGGGGTTGGCAGGCGGCAGGTTCAGAGAGCAGTGGTGTCTTTGGGGGTGCTGGATGGTGCCTCCTCCTGCCCCTTTTAGGGAGAGAGAATAAGGGCATCAAGTCGTGATCCCTGGAGGACAGAAAGGATCACTGGGGTGAGAGGGCTTGCTCAACCATAGAGGAGATAAACAGGGCGAGGGGCCTTGGGGAGATTCACAGAAGGCAGAGACCCACCCAGGCTGGAGGGGAACAGGTTTAGGGGGTAGTGCTCTCCTGACCGTAGCGCCGAAGGGCAGCCCCACAAGCTGAGGCTGCCATCATGTCTCCTGAGGAATCACCTGTGGTCTCCCCACAGCAGGCTGGGAGCCCTCCAGATGACAAACTGGTCACACTTCTATGCCGAGCTGCAAAAGCCACCTTCAACCCAGCTCAGGATCAGTGCCACATACAGCTGGCGCCTATTCTAGAAAACCAGGGATTGGCAATCAAAGAAATCACTATCGAGAGTAAGTTGAGGGTAGAAGGGGCTGAAGTTCCTTTGTGGGGTGGGAACGAGTTGGAGGGGGAGGCGACAATTCAGGAGCATGAGGATGGCTCATTATCGGAACCCCCTTAGCTTCCTAAGCAGTTTCAACTCTTCCTTCTCCCCACCGAGCCACCCAGGAGAGACACCCTCAGGAGACGGGGCTACAGCGTGTCCTCCTCTTGGGGCCCAATCCTCATCCCCCACGATCCACTCTGAGCTCAACCACTGAAGCAGCATCTCTCCCTCCCCTCCCCGCAGCAAAGCTCCTCCCGCAGGATGTATATGAGTTGCTGAAACCCAAGTGGGATGATCTCAAAGAGGTAAGTGGGCTCATCCCCGGAGCTGGGAGAGAGCAGGTCAGGGCCTGGCGCAGGGATGTGCACAGTTGCTTTGCTCCATGTCTCTCACTGTAGAGGAAGCATCTAGAAGACGGGAGGGTAAGAGAGAGGACGGTGGGTAGTGGAATGTGCCCCAACGAACACCCAGCAGATGGGTTCACAGTGAAAGGGCATTGAGGGAGAGGGTGACTCATAGCTGCTTCTGCCACCTAACTTTCTCCATCTTGGGCAGGCGGGAGTCAATAACATGCAGCTTGGGGACCAGGGGCCACCAGAAGAGACGGAGGACCGGTTCAGCATGCCCCTTATCATCACCATCGTGTGCATGGCGTCCTTCCTGCTCCTGGTGGCCGCTCTCTATGGCTGCTGCCACCAGCGCCTCTCCCAGCGGAAGGACCAGGTGAGGATTCACTTCCTTAGCCAGGGATGTACCTCCAGTTCACCAAATGACTGTCTCCCCATTATTCCCACATTAGAGGAAAGTGAGTGGGCCGTGGACATCCCTATAGGAGATGGACGCTTCCCTGGGAAATGACAGCAGCAGCACTGTAGAAGGGAAGAACGCAGGGTTTTGGTGTCAGAAGGATTTGGCTTAAGCCCTAGCTCCGCCTCCTATTACCTGTGCGAACTTGAGCAAGTTAATCAATCTTCGCGCTTCAGTTTTCTCATCTTCATAGTGGGGGTAGTATCTGCAGAGGTGTTCTGGGGATCCCTAAAGATGAATGGACCTGGACATCCCTGTCTGGCCAAATGCTCTTCACCCCCTTACTAGAATTCCCATCATTCCCATCCCAGCCACACCCATGGTTCTCAAAGCTGGAGGCACATTATGGGCAGTTTTAAAGAAATCCGTGCCTGGCTTCCTCACACAACAATTGAAACAGGATCTGTGGATCAGTCTACAGTTGACCTTGAACAACATGAGCTTGAACTGCTCAGGACCACTTGTGTAGGCGTATTTTTTTCTATCCATGGGTTCTGCATCGCAGAATCAATCATCCTTGGGTATCACTTGGTTGAATCTGAGGATGAAGAACATGAGGGTAAGGAGAGTCAACTATAAATTACACTCAGGTTTTTGACTGCGGGGTAAGGGGGGCCATAACCCACCTATGTGATCCAAGGGTCAACTGGGTTTGTTAAAAGCTTTCTATGTGACTCTACTGTGCAACCAGGTTGTATCTCTGATAAAGATGGAGAGAGAGCGCCATCATCTATGGCCCTTATCCGCCACACAGACGGCTGTAGATTCAGCCATCTTGCTCAGCCACCAGGTGGGTTGAAAGTCACTTTCTTACAGTCCTTCCCAATTCATTATAATGAGGGAAGGCAGATAACTGGAGAGTTAGGGTTGAGGAAGAAACAGAGGAAAGATTGGAGGACTCTGGAGAACAAAGTCCATCTCCACTGACCTCACAGGTTTGCCACCAGGGCACAAGTGAGTTGAGCTAGGGATGTTAGGATGCTGGACAAGTCCTGGTCTCAACTAACGCTGAGGCAGGCCAGTGGCCAGAATGGCCTCCAGAGGCACTTAATGCTCATAGTCAAATTGGCGCTGCTGGATTGTAGGGGTACAAAACTGACTCATTCTTCTTGGGTCATCTTGCCCCCTCCAGCAACGACTGACAGAGGAGCTGCAGACAGTGGAGAATGGTTACCATGACAATCCCACGCTGGAAGTGATGGAGACCTCATCAGAGATGCAAGAAAAAAAGGTGGTCAACCTTAATGGGGAGCTGGGGGACAGCTGGATCGTCCCTCTGGACAACCTGATTAAGGATGACCTTGATGAGGAGGAAGATACACACCTCTAACCAGGTCGGCTGGCGGCCTGACAGCGCCACAGAGCTCCAGACTGAACCACCTCAAGTGCCATTCGGACATGGGAGGAAAATCCTTTCCATTTGAGGGGAACACTGGGAGGGAGAGACTTGGAGGGCTCCCTCCTCCCAAACCCCAGAAGGCCTTAATTTTTCCCTTTTCAAGCTGAACAAATCACATTCTGTCTAGATTCCTCTTGTAAAATATCCCATTAGTGCCTGAGCTCAGTGCTGCTGGAAGATGAGGAAGAGAGCTCAAGAAGGAGCCATTTTGGGACTTGAGAGATCTTCTAGTAGAATCCCTTCAGTTCACAGATGAAATGACTGAAGCCTAAATAGGGTGAGGTCGAGATCATGTGGCAACTTCGCGAAAGAGTCAAGATGAAAACAGGCTCCTTCCATCAGTCCAGGGCTCATTTCCACCACACGCACGGCTGTAAGCAGCCATTCCTCCCCCAGTGCTGCCTGGGCAGGGGTGGAGCTGCCCATCCAGGGTTAGGAAGGGGCAAGGCAGATCCTGTCTCAGTGGATCTGGTTACTTGAAAGCGTAAGTCCCAAGAGTTCTATCTCCTATCCCATCCTCATCTGCCAATGTTCCTGTTCCTGTTGTCCGTCTCCATTCCTGGCTCAGTTTTATCCCTAACTCTGCCCAGGGCCCCTGGGAGTAAGTGATGCAGCCCATTCATGACCTTGAATCCTGGATCCTGCTTCCTTGCATTTGCTTAGTGAGACGGAGACTTACCCCACAGGTTATCAGTGTGAACAAGGTGGGCTCTATCAACAGGTCAGGAGCGAAAGGAAAGCCCCTCACCCCAGGAAGGCCCTGGCCCATCACCCATCCTGAGCTGGCTCCCCAGAAGCAACTTTGGCTTCTGATTCCCTACCGGGGACTAAATTCTGCAGCAGCCACTGAAGGCAAAGAACTCCTGTTTTATTGTTCACTGCTCAGGCAATGGGGGTGAAGAGCCAGGCAAGGGACTCCCCCAAGATCCAGTGTGAAAGAGCAGTGGCTTTAGGACAGACTTTCCTGGGGCTCCAGACAGCAGAGCTAAGTCTTCACAGACAATCGATTTGAAGCAAGCAAGATGGGTGGGCTTTACTCTTTCGTGGGAAACTCAGGGACTTCTCAAGTTGCTGAGAATTTGTTCTATTTGTTTTTTACTCCAGCCCTCTACTGCCAAAAGCCAAAGCTTCACCTGTTGGGAGATTTTCAATATCTCACTGATTCCGACTCTCCTGTGCTGTAGGGCAAGAAGGTCTAGAACATGTCTTGCATTGGAAGGGACAGCCTGGGGGTGGGAGGGGGGCCTGGCTGTCCCCAGAGACCTCTCATTGTTCTGGCATGGAGCTTGTCCTCTTCTCTACTAGATTCTAGGGGGCTGCCCAGTTCTGCAGACTCTGCTAGCATCTCAGGGAAACAAAATGCCATCTATGCCTCCCAGTAGAGGGGCTTTGAGAGAGCTCAGCTGTTAGTGGCCACACTGAAGGCACCTGAGGACTGGGTATGGTAAGGCTTAATGTGGTATCTTGAGAAGAGGGAATCCCATGTGGACTTTGGAACCATGGTGTCTTGTTCCTGGGCCACCACAATGACGAGTGGAACTGCTGGAGAGAATGAAAACTCATTTCGGGGCAAAAAGCATCACAGTGTCCTGAAGGCAGCTCGGGCTGAGATAGCGCTAGTGAAGCTGACTATCTTGGTTTGGAATAGGTCGGGTTTTTTTTGTTTTTTGTTTTTTTTTTTTTGAGGGGGAGGAACTTAGCAGGAAGATCTGTGTCCTGCCCTGGCTGCCTGATTAGCCCTGTGATATCCTAGGGGAAAAGGAAGCTGGGGATTTAATTAGGGCCTCTTTGAATTTCCCAAGAGCTAGGGAGCAACCAGGCTCACATGGATCCAAAAGTATTTGCCCTGATTGTCTAGCCTTTTGAAGTTGCACAGGATGGAGAACTGCCAGTTTGGGGAAAAATAGAGGAAATCTTGTTCTGCCGAGGAGGGATCTGTTTGCTTCCTTCCCGCCTGGTGTTTGGTTGTTCCTTCCCAGGGGGTTTCAGTCATGGCTCTGTGGGAGAGGTCAGACTGGATTACTACTCCTGGCCCCATTTTGCCAGCTCTTCAGACAGAGACAGCAAATTCACCTCTGCAAATGGATCAAAGACTGCAACTCCAAAGCTTCTTGGGGGAGAAAGGCTGACTGGCAAGGCCTAGAGAGTTAAAACTTATGCTTGGTGAAGAGGAACCACTATGGTTCTGTCCAAAGACAACCTTGAGGAGCTTCAGCCTGGTTCAGAGGTTCCTTTTGTGCACCCAGATTGTGTTGCTCCAGCCTCTTAGGACAGAGCCAGGCTCTATCCCTTGCTTTGGCTTGCTCTTGCCACTAGACATCCATGTCAGAGACCATGACCCATACGTCTATAAGGGTCATCTTCTTCCTGCATCTTTACTGGGCTTTAAATGCTGTTTGGTAATTCAGATTCCGGGGCTGAGAAGAGAGAAGTGGACCACCAGGAACTCAGCGTGACTTGCAACAAGTTGTGTCAAGCTCTTTGTTTCAGTGGCAAACTGCTGGCTTCCCTAAGTTGCGCAAAAGGCCAGAAACCATAAATTTCATGATTGGATAAGATCCAGTGGGATGCCTGCAGTCAATGAGGGGGAAGAGAAGCAGCAATGCTTAAGAAGGAGGTACAGAATATATATTATTTTTGCATCACAGACAAGAGTACGGGTTTAATCCAATCTGGACAGAGATTCTTTTTTACCCCCTCTTGATAAGGAAAGCTAGGAGAAAATTTCTTTAAACCACTTCTTGAGCTTTTATCTTTGATAATATACTGGAAAAACTTTGAAAAACAAATTCAAGCTGATACCTATATGCATATTTTTTGATACTGTAAATACAGTGGCCACATGTTAATCCACCCGCACTACTTTAAGGGAATATACTTTGGAAAAACATTTGTTAGCTAAGGGAGATGTTTTTTTCCCCCTCTGAATAAGAATGTAAATGTCTACTAAAAATCACAAAGTTTTGATTTTTCTTTAATGAAAAATGGAATATAAGACAGGCAGATGTCCGTGGACTTGCTCTGCAGATTGGACATTTGTTTTTTTCAAATAGGAACCGTGCCCTTCCCTAGCCAAGTCCCAGCCGCCTAGCAGTGAGGGCTGGAGTCATAATGTGCTGGTTGGAAAGTGACAGTCATGGAGGAGGGTAAGAGAGACTCAGTTCAACGCTTTCACAGAAAAAACCCGAAGCCTAGAAAGTGACTTAGCCCAAGTCAAAATCAAATGGTTTGGGACAGAAACAGTCTGGTGCTGTGTGCCTCAGAAGCAATCTGACTACAGACAGGAACCAGGATGTCACAAAGGGCACAAGTGCTTTCCAAGGGCTTACCCTGCAGCAAGGTTAGGGAGGGCATGAGGAAGATAAAAATAGGAATCTTACTGGTGTTCTCCACTCCCTATGAGTTATTTAGGTCTAAGACTTTATGAACAATTCTTTCTGCCAAGAAGCAGTTTTTGAGTGGGCTTTTATATATGGATCTACTAGCAGAACTAAGGATCAAAGGCAGATTGGACACAGGAAGAGGGCAGGGACCAGAGGGAAGCTGTGGCACATCTCGCATTCTCACTAGTGGATGCTCTCAGATGTGGGGTAAGCTCAGCACTGAATGACAGGAGGGGATTACTATATGTGAGTCTTTTGTTATTAGTGAATGTTCAACAGTTTGCCCAGGAGACTGGGGGAGCATGTGTCTTAGTGGACAGGGGTCTGAAGTACACTGGAATTTACTGAGAAACTTATAAAGACTATAATTATTGCCATTTTCTTACAAAAATATATTTTGGAAAATTGTATACTGTCAATTAAAGTGCTTTTGTGTACGCCGGTCCAAGCCCTAGTATTTCGCTGTGGTTGGCTTGTACTCTAAACATGCGTGAGGCTCATCACGAAGCACCCCAGGACAGCAGACACCCTCCGGTGGGGGTGGCACCCTCTGCTCTTATGTCTGCTGAATGATGTGGGTCCAGAGAGCAGAAGAGGAGGGAAGATGGAGGTGCTGAAGGTTCTCCAGATTCTCTCGGGCTGTTCCAGTGACCATAACTCAGAGGACCTCATTTCCTCCACTGTACTGTTTAATCAGTGTTTTACCCTTTTCCTTCCCTCTACTTCTGTCTCAGATGCAATTGTGAATCAGCCACCACCAAAGATCCCAAAAGGGCCGATAAATCCTGATCAGGTATGAAAACTGACACAGTGACGGAACAAATAAAAATATAAAAAATAAGGAGGTTCTATTCCATCCGTTTCTGCCCATAAAAGGACCTTTTTACTTGTCACAAGAAATCTCCGCCTTTCCCTTATCTAGAGACTAGTGAAGATGAAAGATGTTCAAGAAAGGAATCACTCAAGAGGATTCTGATTCCCTTCATGTCCTAGGGTGGTACGGATCTATACGGCTATTATCTTTACCTACTGGCAGGCGAAAGCTCTGTCATTCCCAATTTGCAGAAGGGACACTGTCAGGTAAATGCGACCACATTCAGAGTTGCTACACTCTCTTCTGTTGAACGGTGTGCCTCCAGCCCGGCCAAGGGCCTGGCATCTAACAGTTGACAAAAACATTTTTATATACCTGAGAAACTGCAAAAACACATATCTGAGAAATTGTAGCACCTCTACCATTAGGGAAAGTTACCAACAGAGATAAAGAGCTCTCTTTAAGGAGGGGTAGTCTAGGCCTCAAGTCTACAACTTTTCTCTCCACAATCCTACATTCTTTTCCTAATTATGCTTGCGTTCCAGTAACAAAACACCTTTCTAGAATACATTACCCTTACAATACGTTCTCCTTTTATATGGGAGTTCTGAAAGGCAATTAACACCCTGAAGGGTGCACTAGAGTTGGCCCAGGGGTATTTTGAGGTTAACTTCAACAGTGTGCCAAGAAAGGAGTACAAGTACCAGGAACTTGGGCAGGCCCTTGGCCATGCTGGACGCACACTGTTCTAAGAAGAGAATGACTCATAGTTTATCAGTGGCCACAAATTAGACCCATTCTCTTCCTGAATAGGTCATTCACCCTGCTCCCTGCCCTGCCAACCAAAAGGCCCTCTCAGTTGTCATTTTTAATTTGTTATGCCTGTTTGTCACTAACCACCCCCCATCTTAGAAGCTCCCTCCCAAACTGTGTATTTCTTCTGTACCCTAATGGTGGAAAAGGTCAACACTGAAAAGGACTGTCTACGATAATTAATACTAACGATAATACTGAGCTAATATTTTTCAAAGACCTTGGCATTTTATAGATATAAAAAACCATCAAGGAGATCATAGCAAACAAGATCTGCTGCCAACATTCACAAAAAGAAAAAAAAAAAAAAAGCAGAGAAGTTGAGACTGTGCCCTGTGTTACACAGAAGTCACTGGGTGGACCTGGAAATAGACCTAGGATTCCTGACTCTTGCCCCCGGTTACCCATCCTACGGCCCCAGCTGAGAGGGAGCTAGCAGTACAGTGCGTGCTAAGACACTGCCAAGTGTCCTCATCTCCCCTCTCTGGGTTTGTCATCAAAACTCTCTAGCACAGCAGTGGACAGGCCACCTCTATCTGTAGCCTTTCTTCCCTGTCATATCTCTGGAAAGAATGAAAATCAAAAGCCCAGGGGGAGGAAGGTCCCCAGTGGACACTAGAGAAGCTGAGTAAGAAGACAGTCCCGAGCATTGTTGCCCCACCTGCCCCGTACCATCAAGAATCCACTCTGCTTTTCCTCTTCTTCCAGGATAGGTAATAGGCAGAGAAAAGTGGCATAATATGTGGTGACAGAGTAAGGGCAAACATAACCACCTACTGGTTAAGCCTATGCCAGGACCGACACAGGCTTCCGAATAGCCATTGGTTAGTCTTTCGGCTGGTCGTCAGAATCTGAAGGGTTAGTGGTAAAGAATGTTGCCTTCATTTAATGGGAAAATACCTTTTGTCAATGTCTATGAATTATGAGGTTATGTCTTATAAGTATTTGAGTGTGAGTGCATATGGCCATTTTCCTGTTGGATGCTGGAATATCGTTTCGGGCAAGTGGAAGCTCCTAAGGCAGTACTTTCAATCCCTGTAGGGCTCTACACTCACACTTCATGCGGCAGCTGGCATCTCAACTGTATTCAATAAAGAAGGCTTTTTATTGTCCCACCAGAACACAAATAATACCAAAGGAGATGAGATAGTGTCCCACATTTCTTTTGGGTTAATTCTCTGGAGGAATAACCAAGAAAAGACCAATTCCTTACCTTATCATTGCATATTTGAAAACAATTTTTACTTACGAGCCATGCTCACAGCACACACTGCAAATGAAAGCTCCACGGTGAGATGATTGCTTGTATATTGAGAAAATACAATCCCTGTTAAAATCAACTGACAACTAAGCATTGGTGGATCACAGAGTCAAGAAAACGCACAGCACATTAGAAGATGGAAAGGGTCGAAAGGAAATCTTGTCATCGAACATCTATCTGGAGAGTTCACACAATGCAACCCTAACAACACACTATTTTCACTTGGCCTATTTGTGCGTTTTTTTCTCCCCAGGTTCAACCCATAAAGTTTCTATTCCCATCATTAGGGACACAGACTCAGATTATTTCCAACCTTTGCAACACCTCTAAGGTTCTTTCTCTATACTATTTTTTTTCCTACAACTAATTTTCTATTTCAGTTCAGTTCTTCTAGTTCCCAGTCTTCATAAATATGTCCTTAAAACCTGGGAACACAAGCCCAAATTTTACAAAACATAAAATAGAACTCGTCTTTAGCAGTAGGTCAAACAAACAAAACCCTAACAAAACTGAAATGTATGCTAGTGTTCTTTAAAAATGGAAACTTCTGGGGCCTCCCTGGTGGAGCAGGGGTTAAAGGCAGTGCTATCAAACATTCAGCCACTGCAGCATGAGTTCGATTCCTGGCCAGGGAGCTGTCATCAAGCAGACCTCTCCTGTCTTGCCAGCTGCTGTGTCTTGCCCTCAGCAGTGTGTTTCAGTGGATCCACCTGTTCTGTTCCCCACTCTGTCTCCGTGAATCCTCTCACCCCCTGCACCTCTGGCCTAAACCCCAGTTCTTGTATGCATAAATAAATAAATCTTTAAAAAAATGGAAACTTCCCCCACAAACTTTGTGAGATCCACCAGACCTTTGTATTTCAGCATTGCTTCAAGGAAAAAGTCGACAGACACTTCTATAATAGATATCCTTTTCCATCTTTGGAATCCTGAAGAAAACTCACCTGTCTGATATAGTAACTGCAAAGTACATAAATATTTTAAAAGCTGACTTTAAGAATTGATTTAGAAAACACAACAGGCATTTTGTAGTGTCCATATATAACTTTTTATTAAGAAAATGAACAAAATACATTCTTTCTCCATATGTACATTACATACAACATAATTCTACAATTGCAACTGTTCAGCAGATCACTCATTGATTTATTCACAAAGCAGTGTTAACACATTCACCAAACCTGGGATCAGAAAATTACTTGCACAAAACAAAACACCCAACCTCAAAAGTCCATACAGATTGGGCAAAAGCAAGATAAACCAGAGAGGATGGTGAGGGGAATGGGCAAGATTACAGAAGATACCCAACGCAGCCCAACAGCGACTTATACATAATAACAAAGCTAGAAGAAATTTGACACCCCAAAAGCACTTCTGTTTATAAGCTCCAACTGGCTCCTGCCATCTATTCCAGAGTTCCCTGATTTCCATTCACAATTTAGGTACTTTAGGGTACAGTCTTAATCCCATTTTGCCACAGAAGAGGACAGTGAAGGAGAAGAGTAGAGCCCTACAAGCCCTAAGAGGTTGTAGTTTTCTCCTTCACACACTAAAAAAGAGCCTACATGAAATACAAAACTTCTTGAGGCACAAAACTTCTAAATCTTAGCTGATGAGCAGAGGAAATACATTTTTTTGGAGCGACATTTGCTTAAGCATGGTAAAGAATTCTTGTTCATGGACTCCTTATTTACATTTATGTTCATCTGTTTTGCTTTGCTTGTTTTTTCCTCTGGCCTTTGAAAAGTACCTCATCCTTTCTGGGTGTGGTTTAATTGTAACATTAAAAAATCCTTTAAACAAAATGGTTCATAGTATGAATTTGCTCCAACTATCTATACTAACGGAATTATTTTCAGACTATCTAGAAAAGAATAGCACTTAAAGGAATATAAGAGTAGGGATTGCGGGAATGGCTGTCTTTCTCCCCTGCCCCCAAGCTTTTACTACGCTGAGTAACAGGGAAGTCTGGAAAGTTAAGTCTTATCAGTTAATAGTGGTTTTCCTTTACACTTAACTAATTTCCTACTATAATAAGCATTTATTTTTATAATCATGAAAATTTATAAATGTTATTATCTAAAAGTCCCATAAAAGATATTTCACACTCTCCAACCTTTAGATGAGCTGGTTGCTGTGACACTGTGTTTCCAACTGAGAAGATGGTCTAACAAGGGGAAGGAGCCATTCAGAGCATTAACAAGCAGATCTGGGAAGACAGGCCCCATGGGCTCTGGATGAAGCTGTATCTTTCTTTTCAATCACATTTCCAGTTCAACTTCAGTTCTTAAGATCTCTCTCTACCTGAAGGGATCTTTTATTTCTGCTACTGAATACATCTAATTTGTAAAAGAAGCACTGACTTAAAAAAGTGTAACATCTTTCCCAAGCTGCTTATATAAATGTGCCAATTTGGAAAGATGGAACAGTGTTTGTTACCAAGACCAAGAAAAGAAAGAGGTCCTCAGCTCAGTTTTCCTGTGCTCTTTTTCTGAGGCTACAGACTCAACTACACATAGATTTTAGAGTGATGATGATGGAAGACTCTTTTAAGATACAAATATATATCCATCCATGCACAATGTGCTCACAGAAAAATGTCATGTTATTGTGCAATTTCTAAACTGAGCAGGAGACTATATGTAAATGAAAATTAATACTAATTTATTCATGTCAAGAGACATTTCACACAAGTCAAAAAAGTAAGCTGGCTTAAAGAATAATATAATCTCAGCATCTCTTGGCCAGGCTAAAAGTAGTGCTTGAGAAAGGAAGTCCAATTTTACTTCTCTAAATGGGTGGTTGACAATTGAGGAAGAGAATAGTTTACATACAACTTGGTCAGTCACAAAAATCACTTTTCTGGGGGAAAAAAAATGAAGGGGACCTTTATAAAACATTTTCTCCATAAAAGACTACTCATATTTAAACTTTTGGGCTTTGCTATCCTGTTATAACATTCGGGATTGGATAATTACTTAAGTATGTCTTCTAACTTTAAATTCAGTGATTTTTACAAGTATAGCTACTGTCTACATGTAAAATTAAGCTAAGCCTTCACAGAGGTGGTAGTACCCTAGGGCTTCAAAAGCAGGTAATATAAAAAACGTCAGGCCCTGCATCTCTGTCCTGTCTCCAAATACAGCAGCTACAAGGCTAGACCAGTCACTTGAATTGCATGGCCCAGATGGTATAAGATTATCTTCTCTGTAGCAAAAGTAATTTGTAAAACTCTGCTATATGCAGTGGAATTGGATTTATTCTAGATACCTTTCTAACATAATTAATCACTTTACAGATGCAGAGGGGAAACAGACTAAATCAAAATTATTAAATATTTTTAATGCCAATCCCAGAAGTCATGTATTTCTTGGCTAAGTCAAATAAACAGAGACCCCTGGATTAGTATAATTAATTTTATTTTAAAGCATGGAAACTGAAATTGACGTCAGTTCAATTCTATATGAATTGTAAGTTAAACATGAAATGACAATTTTTCTCCTATTCTGAAGGGCCAGAAAATGAAGACCAATCAAATATTAGCTAAACTGTAACAAAGGCTTTCTTGAGATTTGTTAACAAAGGAGAGAAATACAGCTCAAAACTGGTTCCTTGAGCAACTCCTTGATCATGCACACATGCCTGGATGGTATAGCACATAGTTTTGTCCTTCCTGCCAACTGAATTGGCATTCATGAGGCATTGAGTGAAACTGAAGAATGATGATTTCCTCAGGTGGTATTTGTGTGGCAGACAGCTCAGATAACCTAAACTACCTGCTGCAAGTGCTAGTAACCCACATGGTACAGAGATGTGCTGCAGTGGAGATTAAGCTCAATGAAAGAGTGAGCACATGGAAGCTCCAAACTGCATGATATAATGTTTTACTACTGGTCTCCCTCTGGATCCTTATGAAGGATCAGTTGACTATGCACAGAAGACTGCTCACCTAGTTTAAGATCTGTCTTAAAATCGCTAACAATTATTCGAAAGGTGAGGAAAACAACTAACCAAGAAAAGCTGCTTACTATTTTGACAGTCTTTACCCCAGCGCTGCATTAATGAAATTAATTTAGGGTTAGAAGAGTTTTCTTTTTCATTTAGATTTGTGGACCTTCAAATCGATAAGCAACAAGTTCCTATTTTCCCTTCTCTAACATCTCATCCTTCTCTCTAGCTGTTACTGATGTTCAGGACTTCCAAATGAAAATGCCATAAACAGGCAAAAGAGGACACTGCACACTAATATTTAGTAGTTCACTGAGATTGTTTGAATATCGAATAAAAAGGAAGAGAAATTATTTCACAATTTTAAGTGATATCTTAAAACAGGTCTACTACCCTATGAAACACCACCCCCATCCCCTGCTCTTTTGTTAACCTTTTAGCTCTCATATAACATCCACATGACATTCTGTTTTCCATCACATTAGGGGGTGTTTGAAGACAAAAGAGATCATCCGCATATCTTTTTTTCTAATAATGACTCTAACATGGAAGGTAAACTAGGACCACCCTTTGATTTAGGTGTTAAGTTTTGAATTGGGATCCAGTTCTACCTAACAGAAAAAGATAAACAGTGTTATGGTAGCACACTGAGGCATATTTCTGCACCACTAGAAAATCTGATTTACTCTAATGTCTAAAGACTCCTTAGGTTAAGGGCTACAAAATCTATTGTGAGAGCATTTTACCATGGTTCTGTCTAGGGATAAGATTTAGTCATTTGAAAATTGAGCTAAATTAATATTCTAGAGGGGAAGAAACATTTATAATGTTGTATTATTTTTATTTTAGGGGAAATGAATATCATTTCATAACAATTAGAGTTATTCCTAATACTCAACTATATCAGAAATTGAAAGTCAATTCTTAATACAAATTTCAATGTCAGCAGAAAATGTTATTTCAGGAGGTGGCGGGGGCTGGGAAGGCGGAAGGGAGTCTAAAAATACAACAAAAAACCAATGTGCAAATGGATATTCTAGTGATATACTGAATTCCATGAGCTCTGCTATGAAACCTGTACCTTACCAGGAGCTTCATGACTCTAATTCCCAGAGCCAGGGGAAAAAAGTCCAACCATTAAAAGCTGCCACAGCCATATTATTGTCCCCCAAGTAAAATGACAATTATTTTTATAGCCATATCTGAGTGTTACTAATTCTTTAATAATGTACCAATTTTAATTTCACTATCCTGTTGTCATAAACAAGGATAAAAGAGTATGTTTGCATCAGAATGACTCTGACCTCTACTTCAAACATTTATAAATAATGTCACAGAAAACCTAGGCATTCAAGGGCTAAAAAAAGGTCAAGAATAAAGTTAAATTAGGTAAGAAAAAGAATGGAAATACAATTTTGTGGGTAGGAAGAAATCAAGGCTAATAAATTAAGTATAAATAGAATCTTCAAGATGGAACTTTTTGAGAAAAATAAAAAGAGCATTGGGTGAAGCTACAATAATGCATTCTCCTGCCAAAACAATGATAACATCACACAGCTGATATAGTGGCTCCTAATTAATTATTTCAATAAACTTGGAAATGTCCACCTTAAAATGAATTCTAGGTCAGAAGTTTTGGATAGCCAAGTCATGTTGGCATTTAAACAAGTCACAGGGAGACATAGGTCCATAGTAAAAATCACAAAGTACTATTACTTGACTAGTAAGGAATACAAAAATCTTTCAGGGAAAGAGCGCCCAAATTTAAGTACAGTCATATGCAGACTCTTTCTGATTCTCTACCACCTATCAACTTTTTCTGGGGAAGACTACGTATCCCAGATCAAGGACTACTTTAAAACTTGGTGAAAATTCATACCAGAATTTCTACAAGAGGATGAGATAACTGATGACCATAACATTTTTTAAAACAAGAAGTGTTAGGTAAGGTGTATTTTCCTAATGCTAGATGACTTTGTTTAGAATGCACAATGTAATGATCCTTTCCCATATAAATCAGTTCAAACCACAATTCTCTACTGCTTTGCAATGTTCAATCATCTAAGGAGTTAACATAACCACTCAAAAGATAAATAAACCACAATTATCCAATAAACTTCATATGGTGTAAACAATAATTATAGGGTAAGTTCGTAATGTAATTATGAAACAGTATCATTCAGAGAATAAAATTAGGAACATAATCCTTCCTCAGTGCTTTATGATCCATTAAGCATCATTTCCAATCTCTCACTAAATGATTAAGTGCCTCAAACTAGTTTTTGCTGGGAGGTTAGGTTTTAAGACTGTTTTATTACATCAAACTCTGTTACTATATCTTCAAATAGCAATTTTAAGGCAATCTTAAGAGACCCACTGGAAAGATATGCCATTTACATTCAGTATAAATATTTTACCCAATAATGCAGTTTTACAATCTAACAAATCACTGAGCTCTAAACCTAACAAACCTTTTTATGATAAACCAGTGAATTAACTTTCCAATGTTTTCTCAGTTTTCACTTACTAGACACAGACAGGTGAATGAAAACCAGGTCTAAAAAAACAATGTTGTTAAAGGTTAATACTGTCTATCTATTCTTTACAAGAGTTTGACATCCAAATCTGAATTCCTGGTAATATTTTTGAATTAATCAGGCTGGCCACATGAGGTCTCTGTGATTCCATAAAATGCAAATGCACTGGATTTTGCAAATCAGGTAATTTCTTATGAGTATGCACTGAAAGTACTGTTAGAGACCTAGTTTATTTCTGGTTGAAAATAATTTATTCCACTGGGAAAAGAGAAATGTAAG